GTTTATGAAGGTATGATTATGTACGAAACTCAGGTTATATTGTTACTTGGTCTCTCTAGTTAGCGAAGCTGTTGTTTATTTGGTTCTTTTGTGGTTATGTATCAACTGCTTAAGTTATGCATCATTGAATGAGATGTGATGTAACCAGATAAGCCCATGGTTCAGACCCTGTAGCTGTTTTAGTTTGGGTAAAAAATGAAGATATCTGGAGCCCATGTTGGAAGTAACTGTCAGTGCTTGCCAGCAGAAGCAAATGCCTCCTGGCTGAGACAGGTTCAGAGAGTGATTAGGTGCACATGAGCCGTGTTTGGGAGTCTTGGGCTTCGCGTTTTATGAGAATTATATGTTTGTGAAGAAAAGTATCTAGTTTTGTAGCATATGTGATTTCTTGAGCAGTAAAATAGATTTAGGATTTAATTTTGAGGAATTTTGTCATATGAGAAGTTAACTGGAGATGGTAGTTGATGAGAGTTCTTGCATGCTTACTCAGTAAATCCATATCCAAACTGAGTAACTCCATCTTTTGAAATTTTAATACTCTCATACCTAGTGATAACTGTATGTGCTACCTGATTTAATAAACAGTATCTCCACATTTTCCCTATAGGCTGCATTTACAGATTTTCTATGATTCTCAAAATGGACATTGGTTATTTCATTATACAATGATAACCAGCTAATCTCTGTAACAGAAAAGTGTTGTGTTTTCTTTGCTGTGCAGCCTGAACATGTAAATGTTATTTAGACAAAGTTTTGTCTCTCAAGTTTTGAAGGGTTAAGCATGACCTATGCAGTCTTAAATGTTTTTGATCTTTGATACAGTGTTATTAAATTGTATATTACTCTTTTCCAGAGGAAGTCCTCAGTTCAAATAAAGCTCTGTGGTTTTCACCAGACAGCAAGAAGCTTGCATATGCAACATTTGATGATAATAGAACCAGAGTAATGTCAATACCTTTCTATGGTTTACCAGGCAGTCTAGAGTACCAATACACTCATGCAGTGAATATTCGATACCCTAAGGTGAGGGTGAGGTAGGCCATGAAATCATAAATCACAGTTTACGGAGTTATGTTAGGTGTATTTATTGAAAGAAAGAAATTTCCTTTTCTTAGACAGCAGCAAATATGAAGAAGACCATCTTCTGGTTTGTTGCATTGTGTAGTCTAGTAGAAGTTACCAGCATGTCATTGGTGCTTGCTGCCTCCATCATTAGAGTGGTGAATATTCACCTTTGGTACAGTGATAAACCTTCTACTAGACTTCATGGTACAAAACCCCAGAAGACAGTCATCTTCATATTCAACTGAAATAAAATATTTAACAAAATTATGGAACATTTTAAATTAATAAAAGTTATTCATTTCACGAATTTTCAAAATCATCAGTTATGACACTCTGTCATTCACTTGAGCTAATTATTAATTATTTCTACTGGTTAAAGGACATCTAGAATGCTCTTTACTTTTGATTTATTTGCATTCCTCTTTAAAATGACCAAATCATTTAAAAACCATACTTGACTAACTGTTGCATCTCAAATGCCATTTGTGCTGAATGATGAATTTCAGCATTTGCTTTCCCAGCTTTTTAGAATTTTATCGAAACATGTTTATGTAGTAGGTGTATGACAGAAGTTATATATAAAACATGAATTTGGGGGAGCAGTTTTTTTATTTCTATTATTCTTCTTTGAATAGCACATTGGTTTGGCAACCATATTAAAATAGGCATAGTGCTAAGATGATTTTTAAAAGACCAATGACATAAAATGGTGGGTTATCCAAATTGTTATTGTGCCCATAAATGATTCTTGTAATAGAACAAAATGAATTCCTATTACTTTTAATCCTTTACTGCATAATTTAATCTTTTCCATGCTGAGATTTTTACTAAATTGAAACTTTACTGTTGTATACTTACAGTTACATGTAGTTTCTATCTCTGTAAAGCCATGGATCAGTTTAACTGTTGATAGATGATGGGGGAGATATCTTTCACTAGTCTTGTCAAATACCAAATAAAAACATACCTGCAGGCAGATATTTGCATATGCTTTGTTTCAGCCTGGGACACCAAACCCAACAGCAGGGTTGAGTGTGGTGGATTTAGAGGAAGCAATTAATGGAAACCCAAATAGTGTGGAACTTCAGCCTCCACAAGAGCTATTACAGAGGTATTATGTTTCTTGATACCTAAAATATTGTTATGACACGGTCATTGCTTCTGCTTTTATTAAGTTGTAGTGTTTTTATAAAAATATTTGTGTTTTTAGACTGATAAGAGTGTGACAAGTTTGTAGCCTCGTAACATCTACTATATGAAGTTTCAACCATTTATCATCATACAAGGCTTGTGTTAATGAAGCGAAAATTTTAGTCTACCTGTATCTGACATACTGTGGACTGTGATGATTAAGATATGTTACATGATGTATGTGAAAGCAAGAGTTTGTGCATGTGCTAAATAGCTTAACTGCATAGAATCACTGTATCCAGAATTAATTTAGGGTTTGCTGCTTTTATTTTTGTATCACGGTGGAGATGCAACACCAAGCCAGTGAGCTGATGCATTCAAAGTCAGCTCACGTCCTACATTGAAATAAATGTAGAGTACACGTATCTTTATTTAAACTCTGAATTAAATTTTAAGCTTCAAAAAGGAAATTGTAAATGTTAATGTTGTACAGAATTGTACAAAATTAGATTGGAAATATTCTAAACACATAAACCACAGAAGTTGTTATACAGCCGAGAGAGGTATTTAATCAAATGATTATGTAGTAACTATCCTTCAGCAGCTAAAGTTACGTACAAAATTTTAGTATTTGTATATCCTGTAATGTGAAAATTAACTATTTTCTACTAATTAAACTTGTCAATGTTAATAACATGCCTGGTATGATCATTTTATCCTGCAGGCTCATTCATGGCCTTTCGAACTTTATGCACACCACTATTTACCATCACCCATAAGCAAACCTGAGAAAGAGTATCACAGTTCTTTCAAAATAACCAGACTTACCAACACCAAAATCATAAAAACTCCTTTAATTAATGAGGGGTGCAAATGTGAACATTTACAAATTACACAACAGAGTGGGAGTATTTCAGTAATAATGATGTTAATTCAGGATCAGCCAATTATAACCAATGCTTGTCCTGAAATTCTATATTTACTGTCATCTGTATTTTATCATAAAATATGCATCAGGTTAGAACGTTTATATCTTTAATGGAGATAGGTAAATATTTTATATTATGTTCATGCTGGTGTTTTATGTGCTGTACTTATATTTAGAATTATGGTAATAATAATTTGAACATGGCAAAAAGCAGTAACAGATATAATAACAAACATATTTCCATTCTTATTGAAACTTAGTAATACATTACCTTTCTACCTATGTGTAGCATGAAATCAGTCTCAAAGATAAGAAATTTACTTCTGTGATTTGCAGTGAACCTATTTTGAGTGCTGTGACCTGGGCTACAGAAGACAATGTAGCTGCTGTTTGGATGAATCGTATACAAAACATTGCGAAGATTGTGTCCTGCAGTGCACGTACTTCACTCTGTTTGGAGGTAACTTTCTACTTAAAGATGCTGTCTTCTGGGATGTTGTGTCATGTACTCTGGTAGATATTTACTGATGTTTCAGAGAAGCTTACTGCCTGCATCATCTGAGTTATTGCCTTGATGATGGAGGCAGTAAACACACCTGAAACGTTGATTATTATCGATACTAGACTATGCAGTGCAACATTCAAGAAGACAGCCATATTCCTACTTGTTGCCATGCTAATTTGAAATCTCATCTTCCTGCTTTTGTCTCATCATGTTGGAGAATTAACTTGTGGAATTGCATGAGACTATCTGTGCTGTAGCTTCTCTCCATGCAGGCCTGGGTTCACTGCCAGAGCAGTCTGTGATTTATGATGAACAAAATGGCACTGTGACAAATTTTTCTCTGAATACTTCAGTTTATCTCTGCCGGTCATAATTCTTCCAGTTCTCTGTACTTGTGAGTCATCTCCAATGTGATGTGCTGTACTGTGTCAGCTAACATGTTATTACAACTTCTGACCTGATACTTGGCTGGTCTTGGAGTAAAGAAGTTAGTTTAACTGTTATTTGCGTCAGTTTACTCGGTATCTAGCCATTGCATTTGTTCTTATGATTTTGCAGTTACTGTCTCTGAGAGAATCGTCTGGTTGGGTAGATTTGTTTACTGCCCCCCTCTTTTCATCAGATGGTACCAGAATGGTACTAATCCTTCCACATGACCAAGGACCAAGTAATGGTGCCTATCGACATGTGAGCATTGTGCAAAAAGGCAGAAATGTAGCACTTACTTCTGGGAAGTTCACTGTCACAGAGATTGTGTCTTGGGACAGGGCGAGGAACTTAATGTGAGTACATAAACATGCCGTTGTAACTTTCAACCTCAACACACTGATTAGGACCATCAAAAACTATAAGGTAGATTTAATTTTGGTCACACCTTACATGAAGCTTTTGCCATACACTGAGGCATATCTAACTGTTACTTTATGATTTACGATCTTTCCATTTTACATGGAAATTATTTATCTGTGATGAAAAGGAAGACCTATCTAATATTAGAAGATCTAAAACTAACATATTAATGTTGATTTATGGGATACAGTATTGAACTATCAAACAAAAAAGACATTCCAAAATTCTAGAGGAACATTCTGCATCCAGAAGGTTTGATAATTCATGTAGCATTGTGATCCAGTGGCATATCACTGCATTTTTGATTGCAGATACTACCTAGCAACTGAAGAGGTGGACCCAGCTGTCCTTCATCTTTACAGTGTGTCTGATAATCCTGAAACAGCTCCAAATAAGCCGCTGTGTATTTCGTGTGCTGTGCGGACAGTTACAGATAACACACAGTGTTTATATGTCAAGTCTACATTCAGTCTGGACAGCAGCTACTATACACTTACATGTTCAGGACCTTCTGTTCCTGAAGTTTCCATTTTCAATAAGGTACATGTGTATAATGCAGGATATAGACTGTAGGTGGGTCTTATGAACATGGTAATGAACCATTAGGTTCCATAAAATATGGGGAATTTCTCAACTAGCTGAGTGTACTGTTAGCCTGTCAAGAAGGTCTCTGCTCAGTGGAGCTAGTTAGTTAATTAAGGTCTTTGACCAAGCAGTAGAGTTCTTTCATATCACAGTTAAATATCCTAATATGATTCATTGAAATTAATTATATGTAAGCAATTTTTTGAAGTTTAAATCTGTTGTTCCATTAAGATAAAAATTTGAACATTGAAAAATGAGTGTGAAGATTTTGTTTGCAGGACCATATAAAGTTGATGGTATTGGAGTCAAATGATGATTTAAGACAATTGCTTCAAGGAAAAGCACTTCCCATTGCCAAGCAGCTTGAAGTGTCTGTTCCTGGAGGTTTTAAGGCACGAGTACAGCTTTGGCTGCCACCAAATATTGACATGTCTGGAAAAACTAAGTACCCACTGTTGGTTAATGTGTAAGTATGGCTTGTTTTATAACTCATTCTAGCAACTTCCTCTAATGGATAAGTAAGTAAAGCGTCCCGCTACATGTCTATGCAGGCACTTGGGGGGGAGCGGAGGTATAGCTCCTACTCTTCTTTGACCTCAGCACCAGATGGGGGTGAGTGGTCAGCATCACGCCCCGAGAAAGGATCCCGGTACCCATTGGACAAGAGTCTGGGTGGGCCCCAGAGCCGGTCTGGACGCAGAGGCTAGAGGAAAAATCCTCTGCCCCTGTGGGGGATTGAACCCCCATCATCCAGCCCGTAGCTAGTCACTATACTGACTGAGCTATCCCTGATACAAGGATATAATATCCTACCACTTTAAAGTTGATTTCTAAATTTGATGATGTACTGGAAAAGGGATGTAATATTTTCTGTACCTGCAGCGTTAAACAGTTCTGAAACAGGACCATTATCTTGAATTTAGTGGTACTATAGAGCCACTGGACATAGTTGTCTTCAAAATGTTGTTGTTCAGAACATTTACGGAAGTCATTTGTGACCCGCAGAACAATCTTTAACTTAAACATCTGCTGCATCCTTATGTCCATGATACTTCCTAGCCTAAGAATCCAAACCAAAGATTGGGCTATTTTGCAGATGACACAAACTTATGCAGGACAAGAATACTTGGTGACATGCTTTCACCATAAATTAACTTACCCAGTATATGGAGAGTCAAAATGAATTTGAAAAATGTTGTTCTTTCTGAAAAAATATTAAATAATCAAGTCGCATTTTCCCATCATCATCAAAATGTGGCACAAAATTATAATAAACCTATTGAGGGAATCATGCCAGAAGGGCGTATCAACAGAATTATTGATTTACAGGAGACTAAATTCCTGTGATTATTTGATTTGACAAATGTGCATTATTAACGTTCTAATGCCCAAATGTAACTGTCTGTATCTCTACATAGAGCTGCATCAGCATTATGCGCTTCTGGCATGTCATACATCCAATAATTTTGTGTTCTCAGATCAAATTTCTCAGATTATGCAAATATGTTGATATGACCTCAATATAACATGTTTGGGTTTCACTCTGAGTTACAAACTGAGTTAGAATGCCTATTATAAGAAATGTGTTGGTCTTTGTTTTAAGCCAGATTTAAGAATTTTCCATTTCTGATATAAGCTATAACTGATTGAATTATTGTATTTTCAGGTATGGTGGTCCTGACTCATACCAAGTCACAAAGCAATTCACTGTTGACTGGAGTACATACCTGACAGTCAACAAGAGCATAATTTATGCAGCTATTGATGGACGTGGCTCAGGATTGAAGGGAAACAACATGTTATTTGCTGTCTACAAACATCTTGGAAGTTCTGAGATTGATGACCAAGTCAATGTAACCAGGTTACTGAAAAATCTTAAGCTTGGCCTCTCCATCTAACCTTTGGTTTTCCCAGTGGCCATTTATTTAACATATTCATTTATAGCATTTGTACTTTTAGATCATACCTATTACCTTCATTTCAGATTTAATTTCTCTTCATTGTGTTCTTATTACTGAAATATCATCTCTTCCAAATGAGATCTCAGCTGCTTATAATTTTCTTACATCTCTCTCAGTCCATTTCATGTTCTTGAATCATGTCAAATTAGTCACCCATTTGGTCTTTACAATTTTACAATTTTTTATAGGTTTCTTCAGGAGAATATCAATTATATTGATAAGGAAAGGACAGCCATCTGGGGCTGGAGTTATGGTGGCTATGCAACTGGTATGGCACTGGCAAAAGACAAACTGAATGTGTTTAAGTGTGGAATTTCAGTGGCCCCTGTCTCTGACTGGAGTTATTATGGTAAGTTGTGACAGGACACTCTAAGCTATAAGATAATTTTTTTTCTCTCTCTCTTGGGATGAACTGTGTTAAAGTAATGACTAAATGATTATGACGATAATTGAGTCATTATAGGAGCACTATGTTGGACAGTGTCCATAAAAGTATATGGTACAAAATACAGTGCACTGTTTCTTTCATATATCATATATATGACAAGAAAAGAGAAGACTAGTTTTTTATAAAAGTTAGTTAAGTTTACAAAAATAACCATTTTGGATTGCTAATTTCACATTATGTGCTACTAATTTTGAAATTTTAACTATAAACACTTTCATATGTGAAATGACTGTAAAAGCTTAATTTAAAACTATGCAACAAAGAATGTATTTAATGAATAGATGGTCATGTAATATTTAGAAGTGGACAGGGAGTCATGTCCAACATTGTAAATTGAAACCAGCTGACTAACAAAATGGCTAATGTCTAAGATGGAAACATAATAGGTGAATAGTGTAGTGCAATTAAAAGAAGATAACACAAAAGAGCCTGACTAAACTTTTGAATATTATAATAACTGTAACTGAGGAAGCCCATGGAAAATAGATAGTTAAGTCCGAGGTCCGATTAAGAGCGCCAGTTAAGGGGAAGCCAAAGATGAAAGAAGCTTTCTCTTGAAACGCACTTCTGAGTAAATACAATCTATGTAATAAAAATGCAGTTTTAATTAAGTCTACTTATCTGCTACAAAAATGGAGAACCACCGAGACAAAATTGAATACACTTCGATCATTTCTGCAAAAGGGTGAATATGCTTGACTACTGTAATGAACATAGTGTAATGCAGATTTATTTGACACAAAAATATTAAAAAAGACTTTGTTGTAACATAGTTTCACCAGTAACATGGTTTCATGATATGAGCAGATCAGTGTTTTATTTCTTGCTGTTTTTATCTTCTCTCTCAAGATACTGTCTACACTGAACGCTACATGGGCCTTCCTTCAACACATGACAATTTGAAGGGGTATATAAATGCAGCTCTAACCAGAATTTCCTCCAACATTCGCAACAAACAGTATTTACTGGTTCATGGGACACTGGATGACAATGTACATTATCAACAATCTATGATGCTTGCCAAAGCATTAGAGCATAATGACGTTCTGTTCCAACAGATGGTAAGTTTATCCTATCCCTTTATGCCTTTTAGGTACAAATATTCTCGGCACCCTGTTCTCAAACGTCCTCAGTCCGTGTTCTCCCTGTAAGTTTTATGCTCTTACAAAACAGGTAAAATTTATTCTTGTGTATTTTAATCTTGACTAAACAGTATTTGATTGTGTCATGCTGTGTTTCAAGATTGAAATGTCTGGACCATTTTCTTTTGCATATTAGATTCATGTTTAGTAATTTTTTCAGAATTATTAAATCTCAAATTCACCTTAAATTTTAAAACAGTAAAATGCACAGAAGTAATGTTTATGGATACATCGCTATATCTTAATTATTCATTGAACCATGTTTTAACTAGACGTGCACAAACAAAAAACTAGACATTTAATTCCATCTGGCTAACTTTGTGAAGGGCATTTAACCTGACACAAATATTGTGGTACCCATTGTATCTTTATTAATAGCTAAATATATTTAATAAATTCCCCAACAAAATAAATCTAACATACACATGGATAATAAAAAGCTGAGTTTATATCAGTACAATTACCAAATCAAACCTTCACATAACACTGTTCAGAAAGGCCACTAAATATGTAAACCAAGCAAACTAAATTATACTTCAGACCAGTTCAAAACGTCATCTGTAGACCATTTTGTGACTGTCGACTGTAGGATTCAACCCTTAAGGAATTTCTTCAACTAGTGTTGTTAATGAGATTCGTTTCCAACAAGTAGTCAAAGCTGAATCTTTCCAACTCACTAATGCCTATGACACTTTTCATAATTACAGCCAGCCAATGAATTGTTCACCTCAGTTTATTTACATGACAAAATAAATGTTTATCCATTGTAATATGTTCTGTTTTTATGTAAAATATTTTATTTTCAGAGCTACCCTGATGAAGAACATGGTCTGACAGGAGTACGGCCACATCTTTACCACACACTTGGAAATTTCCTTGACAGATGTTTTGATTTACAGGAACAGAAAGTTTAATTTCTTTTCAGGAGCTAACAACCAGTATATTATACACGAAATTAAATTCTGAGTACATGAATAGGACCAACTATGGAGAGACAAAATATCAGAATTAAGACTTAAAAAGCAATCACTGGTTTTGCAGGCTGTAGAGGCTTCCATGATCAGTTGCACAGAATTATATCATCTTATGTAATTTGAAGTAAACAAGACTTTAGAGAACCAACAATTTGTTTATTGTGATATTTTTATTTATTGATTGAATTGCTATTGTGACATATTCCTCAGAATATACTGTAATCACATAACATAACAGGATTGGAAAAGTATACTCTTTAAGAGTACACTGACTTTCCAAAGGTGTTCTTCATACAACACCACAGGTAATGATTGCAGCAGGGCATCCAAGGGAATAAAAGATGCTATAATAATATAGCCAGGCAACAGTGGTACCTTGGGTAATGGTTGCACAAAAGTTTGTTCCAATAATGATCCATTGTTGCTGAAAAATTCTACAGTTAGCATGGATGCTGGAGCTGTAACCAGTAGAAACCAATCATTGGTTCTTGGATAATTGATTTTTTGCTGTTAAGACCATTTTAATTCATATTCCAGAGTTTACCTTTTGAAAAATAAGATGCATTTTTTTGATTTTGTCATCATCAGCATTTTTTAACGCATTAAGATTGTGATGGATATTTTCCATTGTCCCAGACATTTTCGAAGTACACAAGATTTTGGGTATTATATCTACTGCCACATTCATATAATATGATCTGACTGATAGATATTTGGTGTGTAAATAATGCCTATTAAAATCATTCCATCCATCCATTTTCTGTCTGGACACATGTTGCAATTCAAAAATGACAATGGATTTTCACAAAATGCGACACTGGGAAATTTTATGAAAAATTGTCAAACCACTTCTGTTTTCGCTTCGATTGGACAATTCTAACAGCCATTTCACATATACACATTTTTTTTTTGATGTAATGATACTTTTTAGTTAAAATAATCAATTGATCTTTGTAATGGTGACACATTGAATTTTCTTTGAGACAGGAACTGGATTCTCATTTAGAAATAGTAGTTATTATGATACAACCAGACCAACATATATTCTGCTAAAGGTCCTTACTTATTTGCCCCACCTGTTTATAAGAGAGCATTAAATTAGCATTCATGAACTGAAAACAGAGACAATAACAGAGTGAATGTGCCAGAATTGTTATGATATGCATGCATGCATTTCCTAATTTGTGTAAAATTCACTTCTTTTTCTATAGGCAGAGATGAAATTTTGTCACCTTGGGGGTGATGTGATAAGTGTATAAACTTATAATCCAAATGTACAATGAATCATCAATGCCATTCTGAATCAGTAAAAGTAGGTAAGAAAATTAACCAAAGACATGATCACGTATTAGTATCACCAGAAATAGTCCTTGAACAATGCTTAATATGCCTCAGATAAAAGATCTTGAAACATTAGTCATAAATTAGCCCTTTATAGTTCCTTTCCTTTGCTTTTGCTGTTATGATGTAGAAAGAAAAAAGGCATTGCTTTTAAGTTTCCCATATTCTATTTTGTTCATAAAAATCAAAGAAGTTATTTCTGAATGGTGTAAATTAGGAAGGCTGCCTACATGAACCTCATACTATCTTGCTCATTTTATGTGGCAAGATTGACATAAGGCATACCTAAATTATATTTTTGTCATATTATGTAACTCTTCTGACTGAATGGTATGTTTTCGATCTCATCTACTGTGATACTGTGGCATATGTATCCTAATAATCGTCAGTATGAATTTGATATCTGTAGGTAGTAACAGTTAAATATGTGTACTTTAAGTGCTCTCAAGTATATTATGAAATTGCTGTATAAAAAGGGCTCTATTAGCCATTTAACTCCAAAACATGAAGTCAGTGTTTAATTCTGCAGTCATAAGATTGTAACCAAAGGGGTACATAATATGAGAGGTTTAATTCTGATTTCTGTTTTGTAGTTCTTATTGAAAATATAAATCACAATGGCTTATGCATAATGAAGTTGAACATGTCACAGTATGCAGTACTGTTAACCCTAGAGTTAGAGTCCAGTTGTGGCAGCTCTGTAATACCAGAACTTAAATCTCCCTGTTTCTGTATGATAAAGGTTAAACAAACTTTCATGATTTTTTGTGTATTATGAGTGTTGGCATTTATTTTGTTTGTTTGTTTGTTTTCTTATGCTTTGAGGGATACACCAAAATGGCCAAGCAGGATTTAAAGAATATGTTTAATTTATGGTTGTAAATGTTACAGATAACAAATGTGTGACAATTCTTGATTGTACATAAACTATATAAATATGCACCCATGATGAATTGAAGGAACTATAAATTTTAATACAAGGATATGAAGTTCTGTCCCCCTCCATTTCTGTATTTTGAATGTCTCTTACCAAGAAGAAACACAAAAATAAAGAATACAACCAGCAACATTATTCAGGTTCCATATCACAACAAATTTCTAACTTTGCCAGTTTTAAAACTAGTGCAGCTATAATCTCACAAAAAACCATTGGGGGTTATAAAGATACAAGGAGAAAAGACATCTTCCTATTTTAGATGTGAATATTAGTATTGAGTACAGTTTTACTCGGCAGAATGTGTATGAGACACAAGAAGGTTGTTATGTTGAAGACCTGACCAAAAATATTTTGCATAAAGGAAAGGGAAAATGTAATGTAAAATGCTAAAAATGTATGGAACCTACCTTTGAAATTAAGCTCAATTCAAATACAAGAATAACTGACAATAAAATATTAACAGTGATATTATATCATTTTATTTTAAAAATTAAATTGCCTGTTTATGGAATTTATTTTCGTGTATAAACTAAAATAAATTGAGGAGTTTTAAGCTCTAAGGATATAATCTTCCATTCCTGTCCAGTAGGGAAGTTTCTCTTGGGGTAAGCATTACATAACTTTCAGTCCGATATCAGTATTTTGTAAGGAATAAGGTTTATGTTGCTACTGGAAGGATCATAGCTGTTGAAATTCATTTTCTGTGATTATTAGCAGACTTACATTCTGAGACGAGACATTAGGAATTCATTACAGATAAAATTTGAAGTTCAGAATTGAATGGTGTGAAACTGTTTAAAGAATTGAAAAAAAATTGTGTCTCAAAGACAGTTTTGAATTCTGAGTAATGTCAAAATATAAATGTTGAAAGACTGGAAGAAGTTAAGTTGACCATTGGTGATTTTAATGGGGTGAATAGGGCCGTCAGACATAGTCCTTGACATTTATAAAATTACTGCCTTGTGTTTGTGTGTATGTTACACCTTCTACGTAAGTTTGCTTATGTTCAGTTCAGTTGAGACAATTACACCCTCATACTAGTTAAATTGTTTTGATATTATTTATATTTTGTATGCCCAGGGACTTGACAATACCAGCATATATATAATTTTTTATGGTGCAGTGAGAATGTACAAAAATTAAGTTGGTAGGGTATGGAGCATTTGGACATGACTTTCAGTTTAATGATAAATGTTGAACCAGAGGTAGTAACAGGGAATGTCATGGGAACATGTTCCTGTGTTTCTTAAGTTGTTCTCCAGGCCTACTCAAATTATCCATAACGCACCACGTCCATGTTGGGCGCTTTGTAAAGCTTGTTTGTTCTCCCAGTGGGTATAATTTAGCGACGTGTAATTTTAAAGGTTGGCGACAGTAACTATTGATCTTGTAATAATGGTTACGACAAGTTAATATACATGATAATTTTTGCCAAGTATTTAGAATGAATACAACAAAGCGTCTGTAAAGAATAGTTTATTACTAAGAAGTATACCATTGGTATCAATGCATGATCACTCTGAATCACTGCTAAAGTGAACAAGAAATTTTGACGTTGGTAGTTGTGTCCACTGTTTGGTGGAGGTTTGTTACTGCTGTAAATTTTAAGTTTTAAAATACAATAAAAATGCCTTTTATGAAGGGTAAAGCCCCTATTCGGAGAACGTTACGGTATCTTGAAGCTGGAGGCCTTATTCTAAAGGAGAGGGTTAAAGTATTTTGCGTTAATTATAATGTTTTTGGCGATCATCATAAAGGAGCAAGGTATGTTATTATCCGGTTTAACTTGATGTGTGAGGTAGAATATACCGAAGTTTGTTTCGTTTTGGAGCAGCTGTGGTAAGGCTTTGTAAATGTAATGTTAAATGATTTGACGAATTCAGTTCACAGTCAAAATAAAAAGAAATCATTATCCCTGGTGACAATTGTACTTTACGATGTTGATCCGAACCCTAACTAGCTTAACCTAGTATAACCTGATGACGGACTTATCCATTGTTTAATTAGCAAAAGGTTTTCTGAATCCAATTTTCATCGTAATGAACGGTTTTCCACCGCCCATTTTTATCGTGCCAAAAATCCATTTCCCGTTTGCCATTTTTTTAAAAAGGGATGAGATAAGGTATCTGAAATTGTGGCCACTGATGAATGCAAGATTCACCCCTCAGATGAGAAATTGTGAATATGATACATTGGTGGAATGATAGTGATAAGGAAAAACTGAAGGACTTGGAGAAATACCTGCCCCAGTGCTGCTTTGGCCCCCTCAAATTTTACATGGACTGCCCTGGGAGCAAACCTGGGCCTCCAAAGTGACAAGCCTCTACTATGGCAAAGCCCCTGCCATACCATACCAGCACCATAGAACATGTCTGATAGCTGAACTAGTGTGATAAACAGATGTTCAAATTAAATGCAGTATGAGGGGTTATGTTGTATGCCACCATAATCTGTGGGTTTGATAAAATTGAATAATGATCATACGTTTTTGTTTTTTTACAGGGATTTTGTTTTCTGGCATTTACCACAGATCCAATATAAGAATCCCAGTGTACAGGTGGTGACCCTTACTAATATGACACCATCTCCATATATAACATGCTTTTTTGGTATGTGTTATATCTTTTATGTCATGTAAATTATGTTCCTGTGTTATTACAAGAGCATGTTTGTAATGGCTTTCAACATAATTTTACAGCAAGACATTTTACAGTCTTGATTATAATTACTTCCTTTTCAATTTATTATACGTTAGTCATCATGTCATTTGATGGTATATAGTCTGAGCTAATGTCAGTGTCATTACAAAAACCATCAATATAAATAAGTAAAGCTGTCTGGTATAATTCCCTGTTAGCATATATTTCTTGTCTTCATGGTATTTAACTGACAGCAGTGTTAAATCACATTATACCAACATTGAAAAGTGATTTCTGTGACTCCATTATGTAAGTAGTACTAACAGTAGTAATTCAGAAAGAGAACAAAGTTGGCTTCATATTTGCTGGGATGTGTGACCTGGTAATGATGAGCTTAAAAATCTGTGCTCCTCCCCCAATATTGTCAGGGTGATTAAGTCGAGAAGAATGAGATGGGCGGGGCACGTAGCGCGCTTGGATGGGACAAGAGGTGTGCATCAGGTATTGTGACCTGGTGATTATCAGCCAGATTTGTGTTCCCATCCTGACTTTAGATTCTTTCATTGAGCTTAGTAACATTCATTTTATGTTTACAGATACTGGGGAACGGATGCTGATCGATATTGACAGCAAAACAAAGGAAGAAGTACATGCACACTTGAAGAAAGTTATCTGCAAATCTGAGTAGGTATATCTTACTGTTGTCTGTTATCAGGGTTAGATACACTTTGTTCTGTTATTATTATTGCTAGTAAAAACTATTAATAGAATGTTACAATACATTAGCTTTCATAAGATTTAGTTAACACATTCACTTCATTATCCAGGTTTGGTTGTTTACTTATGCTTTATCTAGACTACCATATCTGGCTTCGATACCTTCATACCATGAGAAGTCAAAAAATGATTTGAGCACATAATTTTATCTTATGTAGAAGATGGTATATGCAGCTAACCTTTACCATTCCATGAACATGCATAAATAATAAAACTTCCTAGGGCTTATATTTGTGGAAATACAATGTTCAGAATATTGAAAGAATGCATTAGATTATTATCCTTTACTAATTTTTTCTAAGCTTGGTATTTCTATTCTTATTTATTTATGCCTTTATTGAGGATCATAGGTAATAAAATGTGATATGTGGCTAAGTATCAGTTACATAATAATGAGGGAATATCTTAAAATATGAAGGTTACTCTAGTAGATTGTAAATGGTTTTTCATTTTAGACATATCTTGGCTGCTGAGCTAAAGGCCATGCAGAAGAAGGATAACCCCGCTAACTTTGGGTTTGGGTGTGATCGTCAGTGCATCTGTGAAGTGTTGGGGCAGGTACCTTGCCCAGGACTAGTACCTTTACCAAATCACATGAGGGGGAAATATAAATATCCTAAAGATTAATATTTATTATCCGTGTGTTGCGGCTTATACGCAGTCCAGCTTTCTGTGCATTACAGGAACATACTGCTAAACCATTTTCCTTGGCCGGGGTTTAAATCCGATACGATAAATGTTCATGTAGCTTCTTCTTGAGTTGAATGGTTCTCATGTATCATAATCACAGTATATTACATTACCTTTTGGTATATGTTGAAAAGTTCTTTGTGTTGTTCCTTCTTGCATCTCAGGGCTGTTAAATGCACAGTACAAATTAGTTTTGTATTCATATACGAAGTGCGGTGATGTTAGCTGAAAGCATACGATTTCATTGTCATATTGTCATATTAAGAAAAGAATTTGAAGTCCAGTGTCAGGAGTGCAATTAACAGGAAGCTTGACTGCTGTTCCATATCCAATTTCCTTCCCAACATCTCACCCATCTCTGTGATAGTTGTACTTCGGAGAATAAATTGTTTTGGTAGAACCCTCAGCAGTATCAAAGGATTCTGTCAAAACGGTGCGTTAGTGCTGCAAGGAAAATGTTAGTTTTATTGCTATTCATACAGAAAACACGTTGTGTTATTTTGGTGATGGAAACATAAATATCGGGAAACCAGAGATGCTGTGTTAGGCACTAGGTTTAAGTTTAGAAATAAAAGAAGAAAAACTTGTATCTAGTGACTCTTTAGAAATTGTGGGAAAGAAAATGACAACAAGAAACAAAAATCACTTTCATGAACATTAAAAGCTGTTTGCGCCATTCAGTTCAGAAAGTTTTTGTCTTTACATCTGCTGTCTAAAACTGTGAGATTCAAATATACCAAACCATAATTATATCTGTTGTTCTGTATGAGTGTAAAACTTGGTGTCCCACCACGAGGAAGAACACAGATTGAGGTGTGAGGACAAAATTTTTTAACCAAAAAAGAGTAACAGGAGAATGAAGAAAATTGCATCATTGTTTGTATCCTTCAGACATTATTAAGATGATGAGATTTTCAGAGTTTGTAGTGTGAACATAAAAACGAGAAATGTGTAGAGAGTTTCAGTCTGAAAATGAAGGCTTGTAGCGTGAACATAAAAACGAGAAATGCGTAGAGAGTTTCAGTCTGAAAATGAAGGAAAGAGTCTGCATGGGAGAGAGATGTGTATATTGGAGCGTAATATGAAATTGGATCTTTGAATCTTTAAATGAATATTGTGTGGCAGTGTGGACTGGATTCATCTGGCTCACGATGTAGAACAGTGATGGATGTGATCTTGCGAAAATAAAAATGAACATTGGAGTTCCATAAAATGGAATTTTGTGATCAACTGAAGAACTGTTACCTTCTCAAGATGGACTTCACTCCTCAGTTACCAACTTATACCCAGTTGAATTATCCATATTAAAATCTTACCTTTCATTTATTAGAATTATTACCTGTGACCTTAACCACATTTCTGTTTCATCCACAGGTATGTCACCCACCTGACTCCACACACAATCATTAACTTCCCGTGACCAAACTAGTTCAGGAACTACTTACATAGCGGTGGAATACAAGATGGACCCCATAGTAACAGCTTATCATAACTTCTTTCACCAGGAATCATAAGGCAGTGAACTGCCTTTCGAACTGATTCACTAACAACACACAAAAGGACTGTGGTTTGAAAACGTTCATAACTGGACAACTTCCCAGCTGCCGAAATGTGAGTACAATTTTATTCTCAAAAGTTGTGATGATAGTAATTTAAACAGATACAGGGAACGACCCTTTCTTCAAGTGCCTGAGCACTGCGGGTCCCAACTTTTCGAATGTGTCGTAAAACATGGGTAGTTTTATATTCATCTAGCAGATGTGTCGTAAAGCATGGGTAGTTTTATATTCATCTAGCAGGAGGATGGAGAAAATTGCAAAATGATGGCTAAACTTTATAAAATATTAGGGTGATGAATGCAAAGAGGATGAAATGGATGCGTCACTTGAGAAGATGAAGAAGAATTAGACAGAAATACTGAATGCTGGTGATGTTAGCATAGATGGGAGGATAATACTAAATTGGATCTTAAATACAGTGAGGGGTCGAGAGTTGGATTGAACTGTCTCGTGATAGAGTTCAGTGTCAGATTTTTGTGACAGCAGTAATGAATTGCCATGTTAAAAAAGGGACTTTTTAGCCAGTGATCAACTATCAGTTTCTCTGAAGGACTGTTCTGTGAAGTTAGTTGCCTCACATTTATCTGAACAGAGACGAAAACCTCGAGGAAACGGATGTCTTTATTCTACAAAAGGTTTCAGTAAGTCTGTGCTGCCATCTGTACGATTTTTAAGAAACTAGTAGCACTTATTTGAAAATAGTACTGCGTGTTGCAGCGAATCAGTGAATGGCAAGGAAGTGAGATGTCGATAGAAATTAAAACAGTAATTTTAAAATGCACAAATATGTCATATATCAGACGTCCATGTTTTCAGTACACACGTTTGTCTGTCTGTCTGTTTGTCTGTATAACTGTTCAACTTCATCTTACGTAATTTGGTACTGAAAGTCTGCATTACATTTGTAGATCTGCATCGGTCCAGTAAGAAAACTATGTGTGACTCTCAAATGTTATCCAGTCAGAAAAAAAAAGCTTTTTGTTCCAAACTTTCGACCCGTCCGAGGTCGAAATCTCGGTGCGCATAATCGCCGTCTGACCTACGTTTTCCCTTGTTTCGTGTCAGAGCCTACCACCTGCAGTACCAGAATGGGAAGTCTAGTTTAACAATTTATTTACGTATCTTGGTCTCTCAAACACTGTGATCGTATGCTCTAATCACACTCGAGGCGTGGATATTTTTCCTTGTCTTTCTACGTTTATTGTATGGTGTAGGTAGAGGCCTTGCGAAATGTCGAAAAAAAGTTTGAAAATCTGGCAGAAAATTATCCAAAAAGGCTCCCAGCGAACTATAACATCTATATGTACACACACTATTAGGAAGCATCTAAAACTCCTAGTTTCTTAAATTATAAATAAATAATACAAGATTTAATTTACATGGACAAGTAAATTTGCATATGTATGTGAAAATTATCCTACGTACCCTCCTAAATTCTCGTCTGACTAGGATCGTCATTCCTTTCTACCTCGTACTCGGCCAAAGTTCGTCTCCCTCCGCCGCGGTCCTGTTCTTAGTGCGCTCTTCCCTACGTCCGAAACGATAAAAGACGTCTAGCATCAATAACAATTGTCTTCTTGTTCCTGAGACGTTCCCACTTATGTGAGGAGTCTGACAACCACTTCCCCCCCCCCCATCTGTCGTCCTCAGTTCCTTCCCCTGAATTATCAATAACAGTAATCGTACCTTTATTAAATTGACTGGTAGAAGCGTTTCTGACAGTCTGTGCCAAAATGCTTTTTCATTTACATGAATTGAACTGTTGTCACATATTGGCAAGTTGTTAAATCTTGCAAACAAATTTTCTTTAACAATACATTGTATTCTGTTAATAATACATTAATAATAACGCAAAGTTAGATCTGAACGGTTCATTTTATGCTGACGGTTTGCGACCAAATTTAACTCAAAACGATGTCTTTGGTAGTGAAAAGGGCTGCAAAGCGAACCTTGCTGGACCACCAGCGAGGCTGCTTTGGGACCTTGTTATGTGGGGAACCCCGTTTTACAGTTCAAATATCCTGGCGCCGTTTCTGATTATGGTCCGTTCTCTATATAAAAAAAATTGTATCACCAATAGACGCGATAGACTCCTCCCCAGCCTTCAGATAATTTTAGAAAGGCCATTCACTCAAGTACTATAATCAGCTTCCTGGTGACTTGGAACAAATTGTAAACACTGAAGCCATGTGGTAACTATCTCATTACGTCTCGTAGCAGTTAAATATGTTGACGCCTCCCTTCTCATTGTATACCAGGAAATATTAAAAGCTGTTTATAGTGCCGGCGTCACCAAAAAAGTCGTGTAAAGCAGGTATAGTCTTTTCTGAATAACATCTGTAGTCTGATTTGCAACAATAAACTTTGTCGGTTTAGGACAAAGCTGCCCTTTCTTTGGCGGCCACTCTCTGTTCTCACCCTGTAACAATAAACATTTGTCAGGATCGTGCTATTCACAAAACCTACAATGCAGAGAAACACAGCGTTTAGCAGTTTATTGTTTTTTAAGTGATGAAAGGAGTTTAATTTTGTTACAGTGTCTAAGTGTTCGTCATTGTGTCCTATCGTGGATTAGTTCAATAAAGTTGCTATCATTATCTCTTCGCTTTCATGCTTGTATTATTTGGGAAATTTTAAATGTTGTTTCAATTTAACGTTCGCAGTGTGAATTTTAATTCGTAAATTATTTTCTTCTCTTACGATGAAGTTTTGGGTTTTGACATCGTGTAGACTCGTCGGTGGATGTCAACTTTTCGGAGAAACTGTCTCCGTCTTCACGGCATATTTGTTGTTGGTTGAATATTTTGTGTAGGCTAATATCGGTGCACATTTTACTGAAACTAAAAATACAATTTCTATCACTTCTCAAAATCCATGTTTCTGAGCCATAAGTGCAACTGCTGAGGCATTTGTCAGATTTTTGTTAAGTATCTGTAGTGTTTTTGTCCTCGTATTTAGATTTTCTGAGTGGTCTATTCCCACCTAAACCTGCGTCTTCCAAATAATTTTCTTTCTTAAGGCTCTTCATCAGAAATGTTCTTATTTATTTCTCAGTGCGCCCTCTCCCTGGCCACCCACCTCAAACGATCAGACACTTGCGAAACGCTGGGATGTGTGCGTTAGTACAGAATTTGAGACATCCAGCGTTCGGTGCCTCAGTCGGATGTGTTTATCTCTACTTATGCACCTTGTAATCGAGGCACTTGAAATTCGGTACCATTGAAAGAGTAACACGGTTGTGGAAATAAATCTAGTTTTTTCGGGTTGTGGTTCGATGAAGTGACGTCAGAATGAAGGCCATGGGTCACGTTCCACGTTCAGGTCAGGAGGCGTGACCTGACCTCCAGTTGTTCCCGGTTCTTTAGTGACGACGACAGGGCAGTAATTTCGAGGCTTTTAATGGTTATCAGGAGTCTATGTCTATGAGAGGCCGTGACTAAGCTGTACATGGGCCTATTAGTAGTTTTATATTTGAAGTAGGCATGATCAGTTGTTTCTAACCTTTTAAATACTAATGGTATGTATATATGCCACATAATTTAACAATCAGTAAAACTGAATTTTGCCCGCGGAATGTATTTGTGGGTTTCATACACAGCGTTTATTTTCTTAACAGTGTTAACCAATTGATTTTTATAATGGAAACGTGTGTTTTCTGTAAGGTAATAAATTAATCTTAAAATATTATTCAGATGCGCGCAATTCCGTTAGTGTAAGCACATCCCTAGTTATGGTTTATAATCATTCTTTCAGTTTCCAGCTATGCGTTTCGTACGTAGGAAAGGTTTAACAGAAGAAGATTTGTCATCTTGTACTCGCGGGAAATTCCGCGCCTAATAGCTTTTTGGTTGGTTAGTTGGTAGTTCGGCTTCAAAATTTGTCGATACATTAAGGGACGTAAAGAGTTGTTCTGATAAATAAAGGCATATGTACTTTATCGAAGTCTTAAATGTCTTCATTAGGTACAGATAAGCTGCCCTACAAGTGGTGTAGTGGTTTCAAGGCATGTAAACAGAACTATGTTCTTGAATATTGGGGAATAGCGATATTACAGCGTATCAACGCAAAATGTCTTCTTCATTAGCTATAGTCAAAAGCAAATTTGTGTACAATTCTGTGCAGCTTCCCGGTGTGTTATTTTGTCCTAGACTAAGCCATAAAATGAAATATGCAGTTTTTAACGCTAATGCAATGACTACGAAGAATGCATCGAATCTGATGATGGATCTGTATTTTTCATTCCGTTTCTGACGTGAAGAGGTGCAGTTTCCACGACGGCTTCTCGTTAATTTCAGTTGCTTGACGTTACGTGAATAATGGTTTCCGGAACTGAACGAGCGCTAGTCTGCTGGCAGTTAGGTCTCTGCCTCAACTTCCATGCCCCAGGTTCAAAGGGTTTCTCTAGCGGACATAAAATACTTCTATTTCATATTTCTTTCTGTCTTTCCTTCTTTCTTCATCTTCCAGGTTTTCCCATCTAGAGGTATCTTCGACCCTGGGGTCTGTACTGTATGTGTATATAAAACAGTTAATCGGCAACATTTTAATTTTAGCCACATATTTATTATTTACAGATTAAGGAACGTTTAATTATTTAATGGGAACATAATCTGTCATAAGAAACACCGACTACCGGTACCTTGTCGGTAAATGAATTTAAATAGCAATCCG